GCAGTATGGAGATTATGCACGTCTTTTTCTTTTCTTCCTATGTTGAAAATTCTGATTGCTATGGCAACAAATAGACTGAAAATATGGCAAATTTTACACATAACCTGGATCCCGCGATAACGCAAAAAGTACTGAAAATATTTTTATGAAACTTGATATATGGAAAGATGGCAATATGGAGATTATGCACGTCTTTTTCTTTACTTCCTATGTTGAAAATTCTGGTTGCTATGGCAACAAATAGACTGAAAATATGGCAAATTTTACACATAACCTGGATCCAGTGATAACACAAAAAGTACTGAAAATATGTTTATGAAACTTGACATATGGGTAGATGGCAGTATGGAAATTATGCACATCCTTTTTTATCTTCCTATGTTGAAAATTCTGGTTGCTATGGCAACAAATAGACTGAATTTCAAGATTTCTGATTCTAGTTTTTAATTTTTTTCACTATAAGTTCTTTATTTCTTAAGGAATTTTCTTCAAACTTTAAATATAAGTTGCTTGTCATCAACCACATCATATGTGACAAGGTTTACAACTCTAGCACAACATTTATCAGAATTACCTCCCTTGAACTTAAAATTTTCATGAAAAAAACATTGTTTTTTTTAATAACTTCTTTTTCTGAATGTATCTACTTCAAACTTCATATAAATGTTTCTTATTGTCACTCAACATTTGTGAGTGTTCAATACTCTAGCAAGACTATTTCCAGAATTATGCCCCTTTTGAACATAGACTTTTTTAGCTCACCTGTCACAAAGTGACAGGGTGAGCTTTTGTGATCGCTTTTCGTCTGTCCGTCCGTAAACTTTTACTTTAAATGACATCTCCTCATAAACCACTGAGCCACAGGAATGTTCCTTTGGTGGTCACCTTTAAAAATTGTTCAAAGAATTTAATTCCATGCAGAACTCTGGTTGCCATGGCAACCGAAAGAAAAAACTTTAAATATCTTCTTTTAAAAATTCCTAAGAGCTAGAGCTTAGATATTTGGCATGAAACATCTTCTAGTGAGTGTCTACCAAGTTTGTTCAAATAAAAGACCTGGGGTCAAAATTGGCCCCGCCCCAGGGGGTCATTGATTTTCCCTATATGCATATAGTAAAAACTTAAAAAATCTTCTTTTAAAGAACCCAAAGAGCTAGAGCTAAGATATTAAGCATGAAACATGTTCTAATAAGTGTCTACCAAGTTTGTTCAAATAAAAGCCCCGGGGTCAAAATTGGCCCCGCCCCAGGGGGTCATTGATTTTCCCTGTATGCATATAGTAAAAACTTAAAAAATCTTCTTTTAAAGAACTCAAAGAGCTAGAGCTAAGATATTAAGCATGAAACATGTTCTAATGGGTGCCTACCAAGTTTGTTCAAATAAAAGCCCTGGGGTCAAAATTGGCCCCGCCCCGGGGGTCATTGATTTTCCTTATATGTGTATAGCAAAAACTTAAAAAATCTTCTTTGAAAAACCCAAATATCTAGAGTTTAGATATTAAGCATGAAACATCTTTCTAGTGAGTGTCTACAAAGTTTGTTCAATAAAAGCCCTGGGGTCAAAATTGGCCCTGCCCGGGGGTCATTTGATTTTCCTTATATGTGTAAAGCAAAAACTTAAAAACTCTTCTGTGAAAAAAACCAAATAGCTAGAATTTGGATATTAAGCATGTAACATCTTCTAGTAAGTGTCTACAAAGTTTGTTCAAATAAAAAGCCCTGGGGTCAAAAAACTGGCCCCGCCCCAGGGGTGTCATTGTTTTTAACTATGTGTATAGTAAAAACTTAAAATAACTTCTTTGAAAAAACCCAATGAGCTAGAGCTTAGATGTTAAATAGCATGAAACATCTTCTTATGGGTGTCTACCAAGTTTGTTCAAATAAAAGCCCTTGGGTTAAAATTGGCCCTGCAAGGGGGTTGGGGGGAGGCCTATATACAGGTGAGCGACTTCAGGGCCATCATGGCCCTCTTGTTTTGAGAAATTGGTAATTTTTACTCCAACTTCTTCAATCATGATAGGATTTTAAAAATGTTATATTTTGATAACAGGGATGTTTAAAAAATAACTTTAGAGTGTCCTTCAGTCCGTCTGTCTGTACATAAAAACTGTTTTCTGTGATCACTTTTAAAGAACTTTTTCAACAAATTTACTTAAAATAGGAACCTAAGTGAATGGCCAATGGCTCTTCAGAATGTTGCTTGGGCTCTTACTGGTAGGGGACTTATGGATTGCTTGCAATACTATGATAATTGCTTGTTAATTTTTGCTTGTTTTGTGAATGAATTTTTCATATGTTCACACAAGAAATAGTCAATTTATTTCCAAATAAATTCAATATATCCTCGGTAATCCAGGCTATAACTGTCTTAAATGTAGTATATTATACAGAATGTGTACCATGGGTTCCGACGATGAATTCAAGCCAATATTGTTCATTTTAGTTTCATTTTTTTTATCATATTATTCCTTTTGTTGAAACATATATTCATATTTGTTAAATATATAATGTAATAAATACTGTTTAATTATTTGTATTCTTTTTGCTCAAACTCAACTGACAAATCTCATCTGACTGTATATAAAGAATATATTACTTTCAGTGATTAAAGCTTCTGACCATGATTCACAATATTGGTAAATTGATAATGATCATAATTCACAATATCAGCAGCTTTATAAAGATCAAGATTCACAATATCTGCAAATTTATAAGGATCATGATTCACAATATATGCAAATTTATAAAGATCAAGATTCAAAATATCGGCAAATTTATAAAGATCAAGATTCACAAAATGGGCAAATTTATAAAGATAATGATTAACAATATCGGCAAATCTATAAAGATAATGATTCACAATATCGGCAAATTTATAAAGATAATTAGTTCCAATGAGTAAATATAGCTATTGATTGGTTTGTATTACTTAAAATAACTGTTAACAATTATTAGTTAAAAGATAACCTATATTTAGTAAAAAATTACTAATAATTATTAAAACCATGAAATGTTAGAGACTACATATAATTACTAAAAAATCATGAAATTTTTCAAGATATTTTATAATTTTTTTTATTTGATTCACTCAAATGTACTAGTTGACAAACAAAGTAAAATGAATGATGCGTCTTGTTTCTGAGAGATCAGAATCACTGTACGTTTCAAGTATGTCTATCTCCGTCTCGAATATTTTCAAATATTTATCCTTAGCTACAAGAAATGATTCAAACTGTATGTACATTATGTTTTACTCATTTTAGATAGACTTACCTCAATCAGACGTCAAAAAAAGTCATCATGTTCACTAGTATGAATGGTCATCACATTTTGTCTTGGTTTAAACATGCATTATGTATAATTTGTTTTTACAATTGATCATCATGTTTTGTTTTTCTGTATTTGAATATCTGTATGTTATATCCATTAATAGACTTATTGTTGTAGTGATTTTAAAATTGAAGCAATTTAAATAAATGTAGAAATATGAATGATTAGTTTATTTTTGCATTTTTGTCACGTTAAATCTAGGGTCAATGTCCTACAGTATCTGATCTACCCATCAAAGTTACTAATTTGAAACTAGAAACATATTCCGGGTACCTATGAATATGAAAGATCACAACATTGCTCAATAGTGCATGTTTCCAAACTCTTAAATGTATGTTGACAATGTTAACTGTTATTTGACAATGTTATGCCACTAATTATTTTACTGTAATACCACAGAAACTTTTAATACCTCAGACTAGAGTATTATTAACTTGGAATATTATACATAATCTTATATGAAGAAGGATCTGCAAGGAAGAGCATAAATCCAGATTTGACAACTTAAATTAAGATGCCCATCTTTTACAACAACAATGTCCTTAAATTTACACTTCACCAACTTACTTTTTACACATATAAGAATATGTATGATATTTTTAATTTTTTTAGTTGAATTCAACATCACACCAACATGGCCACTTTCATGCTTTACTGGTGAAGACAAACCTCGGATGACAAACTGGCACCCAAGTAGAACAACAAACGTTCCATAAGCTAGCCGGATAGCTTCCTCAAATATGGAGGATATGAACAATACTAAGGACATCAATGATATGAACTATACGAAGGCCATCAATGATATGAACGATACTAAGGACATCAATGATATGAACTATACGAAGGACATCAATGATATGAACAATACTAAGGACATCAATATGAACGATACATAGGACATAAAATATATGAACAATACCAAGGACATAAAAAATATGAACAATACTAAGGACATTAATAATATGAACGATATGAAGGACATCAATGATATGAACAATATGAAGGACCTCAATGATATGAACTATACGAAGGACATCAATGATATGAACGATACTAAGGTCATCAATAATATGAACGATACTATGGAAATCAATAATATGAACAACACCAAGAACATCAATGATATGAACAATTCTAAGAGCATCAATGATATGAACAATTCTAAGAACATCAATGATATGAACGATACTAAGGACATCAATGATATGACATCAATGATATGAACAATACTAGGGACATCAATATGAACCATACTAAGGACATCAATGATATAAACGATGCTAAGGACATCAATGATATAAACGATGCTAAGGACATCAATGACATGAATGATATGAAGGATTTCAATGATATGAAGGACATAAATAATATGACATCAATGATATGAACAATACTAAGGACATCAATGATATGAACAATACTAAGGACATCAATGATATGAATGATACAAAGGACATCAATGATATGAACGATACTAAAGACATCAATGATATGAATGATAGTATGTCAAAGATATGAAGAACATCAACGATATGCAAACAATATGAACAATATGCAAAATTAAGTGTCACTACTGCAACATGGGTAGCTTTAAACATAGCTAAATATATCAAAAGATACCAGACATGTACTTGTAAACTTCTGGACCAATTTTGAAATAACGCAAACAAATTAAGATTTTTATCATTTAATAATAAATACATGAAGTATATTCCTTCTCAATTTTCAAACATAAATAACCGCTAGACCACTAACAAAAGACCAAAGCTTTACAAAAATTAATATTAAATACATATATTATAAACAAAATATGCATTTTTTGTACAGGCTTTTTTTCCCTAAATTGTTTTTAGTTTCAATTTTTCTTAATAGAATGATTTGCAACTTGTTTGAGGATTTGCATTTTTTCTTGTATTCAGCTACTTCATTTTTTTGTTATTGCTTTTTCACTGTTCATTAAAATATTTTTTTCACTATACTCAAATGCCACTGAGAAATCTAATATTTTCACTACTGTATTTTGCGAAGAAAAAAAAATACAATTTGATTGCTTTAGAGAAAATGCTACTAGATAAGATCTATAAGTAGTTTAATTAAAAATCAGCCACCAGATAAAAATTTAAGACCAAATAAACCCTGTTGTACATGATATCACAGGTATTCTTAACCTGGATAAGAGGAAAGAATTGCTATAAGTATAAAAGTTTGGAAGTGGCTAGCCGTATAGGCCTGTACTGGTAGCCAAAGGTTCTAGTCCGTATGCGAGTCACTAGGATAGCCATAAGGCATTTTTTCATAACAAATAAATGAAATGTTGAAGTCACTAACTTGTATGTCTTAAATTACATTTTCACGAACAAGAATAATATATATTTTTTCTAAATGATCTTATGGATGCTATTTTTGCCATTTATATTATGACAAGATATCAGATAGATCTATCAGAAATAAATTACTGTATTCCTAGAAATGTTCGCGGATACAATATTTCGCGTTTTTTACAACGTCGGCATTTTCGTGGAGACAAACTTTCGCGGATATGTAATAACCGCGAATTCTGCGAATGTTAAGTCGCTACGGCCTAAATTACAGTTTTTGGAGGCTACGTTTTTTATGCTTGACCTTGCCTGTTGGGTGCTTTTAATTATTTTATTTTTTTGACAAGTCGCGCCTAAAGCGCAACGTTACTCGATACATTTTCATCTATTGACTAGTCGAACAAGGACGGTTGTTCCGTGAACACATTCATATTTCCTTACCTTTTTCATTATGTTATTAAGTAAGATTAAGTCAGACCTGTTAGCTTTTATTCTCATTTGAATCAAAACTGACTATCTTCAAAATGTCGATACGTATTTTTTACACATTTTCGGACTGTACATCGCTTTCATTATAACAACATAACAGCTGTTTATCAATGTAGCACTTGATCGCTCTTGCACTTTTAACAAAGGATTACACCTACTCCAAGCAAATAAAATCCAAGTCATTCAATGTTCGCAAACTGTAAATGCGTTTGTCAACGCCGTGACTAGTAAATAATGCCAATAAGCATGTTAATTACTAATAATTGATTTTTTCTTTTTCAGCGTGCAAACTAGTATCAATAACATACATAAATAATTCTTTACACATGTCTATAACACCTGTGTTTATATGTTGTTTTGTGTAAGTAGATTATAATAAATATTCTGCACTTTTTATGTTATATTTGGTTGAAGCTAGAAATGTTCGCGGATTTGTTATAAGTGACATATTCACGGCTATAAAGATTCGCGGAATCATGCCTACCGCGAAAACCGCTAACTTAAAATCGAGAAATCTTTTCTAGGAATACAGTAACCTTTAATTAAGTAGTTTTCTTATACGATGTAAATTGTGTGTTAATTACAAGTTCAAATTACTTAAACTATTTTGTTATAATCTAATCTTTGTTTAGAACACAAGTCTGCATATTCATTATTGTTATAGGTTATTTTAAAAATGCAGTACGGCTAGTCTGAAAAGTGCGTATAGTCTAGTTGTATGTGACGCACATACAGCTATAACTTTTGGCTAGCAATATGGGTCCTTAAGGCTAGCCACTGCCTAAATGTTTTTAGATACATATTGCACAATACCTTTATGAGATTTATCATGAATGTTTCATACCAGTCTTTCTATAATTGTTAAAATAATAACCTGTTTATTAAAATGTTGTAAGTACAATTTCCTTTGTCATGAAAAAAAAAATTTACTTCACATTCTCTGAAAAAGCCCTATTACCATATTATAAATTCTGAACACACTTTTTATCAGTGAATGATGATGTGAGAGTTACCTTTTATTAATGAATGGAGTGTAAGAGTTATCATTAAGAAAAATGTTTTTATCGTCACATGATTTTTCCTTCTTTTCTCTCTCCTTTTTTCCCCCTCTATAAACATAAATAATTTTCTGAATCTCTGACAATGAGAAATGCTTATATATAAGTTACAGTCATAAAATAAAATTATAAATTGTTTTCACTTTAAATTCTTCATTCTTTCATCTAAACTTTCACAATTATTCTTTATAGTTGAAATATTTTCATTCATTGTTCCCTCCATCTGCAAAGATAAAAATAACATTTTCGATACAATAGACATAGTACATGTGTAATAATAAATATAATTTTATTTTGTTCGGTTTTATGGTACATCAACACAACTTTGGTCATATGGCGCCAAAACAGGGAAGATGATTTTGACTAACCTCAGGTGTAACAAAATTGAGAGCAACACCAGGGAAGCAACACCAGGGATCAAAAACACCTCATCTGCTGGAGCTAAGTGATGGACTCCCCTAATTTGAACCCATTTAGTCACCTCTTACTTTTATGCAGGGATACAAGGTGGCTGCAATTCTGATGCCTCAACCCTTTAAAGGCAACCCCTCAACCACAAGAGGTACTTATAAATATAAAATTTCATATCAGTTCTATAAAAAATCTTGACAAAAATACTGATGAAACAACTTATCAATATTATGTTCACAAATTAATTTAAACCAGGTTTAAAGCCTAAACTTTCCAGTTTTCAAGAGAATTAAACCAGTGACTCCAAGATTACAAATCACATGCTCTCTATTGAGTTAAGCGTGCAAACATAGTATTTCATGGAAAGCACTTTAAAAATCTGCTATTTATCAGAATTGATACAGATCCACTTACTTGTTTTAACATATCACCATGTGATTTAAGACTAGTGTTAATTTCTTCCTGTGTCGTGTCTAAATATGCCAGGGCTTGACTAAACTGTAGGGCTGCAAAATATGAAATGATAGTATAAGTTAAACACAAATTATTATTATAAAGAGAGAAATAAAATGCTAGCATCTGCATCTACAAAACCATTCTGTAGAAAATGGGAAAAAATTGAAACTTCATATAAGTCAATTTGTGTCTAAACATGACAGCATATATCTAGCTGTTGCAACAATTTAAGAAGTATTAAACATGATTTATTTTCACAAGCAACAATATCAGTACAGTTCCAAAAAGGCCATAGTTCTGTAATATTCCATGCTAGAATTATAGACCTTAGTTGGTGACCTCCTTTTATGCTCTCAAATGAGTATGTGAAGTTTTAACCCATTCCTTTTACACTTAATCAAAGTATTACGCTGAAGCCTGGCTGAGTACCATAAGCTCTCCCTATTCTTCAAATAGTCGAGCTAATTATTGCGAGTCTCTTTATCCACTCACCTTGTTCATGTAAATCTTTCAAGGCAGACAACCTATCAACAACCTTAGGTAGGACATCAGCAGTTGCCTCCCATTTTTTTACCATACTGTACAGCTCGGATATCTGCAAGAGAAATAACCAACATGAAATCAACTGTTCCTTGAATGAAAGTGCTTCTATACAATAAAGGTACATAGCGAAATACATTCTTTCAGAGAAGGGACATGAAAAAAAATAAAATTTTGTAGTTCACTTTTACTTAAAATACAAACATCTTCTGAGTGTAAAAACCCTTCACTCAATATTCATTCACCACTGTTGATAGAATCCTGCCGACTTACATTCATGGAGAACTCAGTAGCTTTGAACATCATGTTCTAACTATTGCATCCTATGCCTGAATAATGCATGAAGCACTATCACCTGAACAAACCTTGTGGATTGATCAGCTGCCTTGTGACTTCATCAGTCTGGAGGAACAGCTACCAGCTTATTTTGGAAAATTCAGGAAGTTCTAACAGTTGGAAAAAATGTAAGATTCAACTTATGGGCCACTGATGTTTTTCAAATTTTATCAATTGGAAGCACTAAGGCCCTGTTCACATGGTAAAAACCTTGGGTTGTATGAAGAAAATGACCGTACTTGTAGTGACTTAAATCAACCACACCCAAACTTGAGAGGCGACTCACCAAAAGCTTAAATCTTGCGTCAGGCACAAAGCTCCTACTTTTGCAATCGGACAAAATTTAAAAGCAAGAAGTCTAACAAAGTTTTGGAAAAAAAAATTTAAGATTTCATTACTTACTTTGTTCTGTTTCTCGCCATCTTCTTGCGTGTTTTTCTTCTCAGCAATTTTATCAAGTTTCTGCAACACACTGTGTAACCTCACCTCCACCTGTTCTACATTGGTTGGATCTAAAAGAGACATCTTGGAGTTCACAACAGCAACAGCTCCCTACAATACCATAGTAACATTAAATATGCTGTGAAATGTTTTGAAATTTATACATACATTGTATTTATAATTTTTATTCATGCAAGTAGTTCTGATTGGCTCACCAAATTAGGTCACTTTGAAGAACTCCTTTTGCAGGATTACACTGATTGGTTCATCAAATTAGCTCACTTAGTAGAACTGTTCTGATTGGCTCGGAAAACTAGCTAATATGGAAGAACTATTCTGATTGGCTCACCAAATTAGCTCACTTGGCAGAAGTGTTCTGATTGGCTCACCCAAATTAGCTCACTTTGGTAGAACTATTCTGACTGGCTCACCAAATTAGCTCACTTTGGTAGAAATGTTCTGATTGGCTCATAAAGTTATCTCACTTGGTAGAACTGTTCTGATTGGCTAAACAGCAAAGCAATATTATAAATCTTGCTAATATCTGATAATCTAGCAAATGACATGTCTGATAAAGAATGTTCTCCACAATGATTTGAATAAAACCAATCTGACTTAACAATTGTTCTTCCAACATTTAACAGGGACTCTTTGCAAGTTGCACTCAAACTTTTACTATTTCAATGTAATCTTTGTCATGAACTAACTGATCATTTGATTGTGTCTAAATAACCTACCACTAGACTTTTATTATCTGTATCTGCTGTGAGTATACCCTAAAATATCAACAAAATAAAGTTAATATAATCAGTACAAACAATCATTATCATGCCAAATAATCTTAGTTATTTATCCAAGGTTGATATTATATAACATATTCTTACAACTTAAAAATCAATTTTGATAGACCCCCCCCCCCCCACCTCTCCAATTCCTTGAACCAGGTTAGTATTTGAGTCAAATGAATAAAAAATATGGTCACAACAAGAGTGTGGCTTTAACTCGCAATCCCTGCCTTAGATAGACAAATTATCCACTTGACATCTGTTCCCATTCTACTCTTGCAGCTGTTTGGTTTGGGTTTAAAATGTTAGGGCTTTAAAGAAATTATGTCTCAAGACAAATATCCCTACACTGATTAAAACTTGATTCAAAAACAGCAACTGACATTTATGGTACAACCAATTCATGACTTACCAGTTTATCAGAACTGGTGTTTCCCATTGCAGCCTCTAATCTTTCTAAACGTTCTTCCAAACTTGCTAGCTAAAATACAAAAAATAATCCTTAATATTCATCATCTACAATTATATTTATTACCATTACATTTACAAAACAGTAAGGTCTTAAAACATTTCTAAGAAACTGAAAGAGCATCTTAACAGGAGGTTTCTTTGTTTGATATGGCACCGAAACAGGAGAGATGATTTTGGCTAACCTTGGGTATTACCAAAATTTAAGCAACACCAGGGATCCAAACCGCCACACCTACCGGACCTAAGAGATAGACTCCAATAATTCAAACCCATTTAGTCACCTCTTACGATCACATAGGGTTTAAACCTGTTAACAGTGGGTGCAATTCTGATGCCTCAACCAATAAAGGCAATCCCTCTGCCACAAGGGGATGAACGGGTTATCTGTTTTCTACAAGGGGGTGGGGATGAGGATTTTCTACATATATGGTACAACTTTAGACAAAATTTTGCTTTTTTTATTTTTTCTTGTAAATATTTTCACAAAGAAAAGATCTGGTATAAGTATTTTACACTTAAAATCTTATCTTTATCTTTACTCTATACTTGAAAAATATATTCAAATATTTTTGAAACTCAAATACTTTGGAATAAATTTTTAAATCTGCAGTTACATATTATAATCTTCTGTTAGTATTTGAACCTTAGGATACATTACATGAGACAAACTGCTTTAAAAACTAAATGACATATAACATTTTTCAAACAAAGTCTTATTCTACCTTTGCATTTCTACTGAACTGTGCCTGTTCAGGGCGGTAGAAAAGTTCATAGGTCACATGATCTTCACCGGCTCCACTCTCCTTACCAGCTTTAGAGGCTGGTTTCTGGCTAGGTTTAAATGATTCTAGTTGTGTTAACAGTCTCCTAAAATATTTATATACTACATGTATCACACATTCATATTATCAGATATTTTGGTAATTTAGATGTAGACATTTAACATTTATACTTTGGTTTATACAAATTTATTTTAGTTTGATTGTGTAGGAAGCAATGAACTACACACTCTCGAATGGGTTCCTGGAACAAACCAGAACTAAGCAATGAGTGTAAAGTTTCTTACTTAAGGGAACAAATATAGCAATTCTTAGATCACCAGTCCACTTCGTTAACTACTGGGCCATGCCCTAACATATACCTTTACAATTCGAAAGTAATTTTTTCCTCTTGTTGGTTGCATTTTATATCAAACCTACAGTGTTCAGGTCAAATGACAACATTCCAGCTTTACTGGCGGAGGACGACATCAGGTGTTCCTCCATCCATAATTTCAGTCACTAGTAGGTACCCCAAGTAGAACCACTGACAGACTGTAAGCTAGCTGGATAGATTCCTCACATGAGAGAATCCAAAAATCCTGCAGAAATTCAAACATAAGCAGTAAGGGGCAAGTGGTTCAATGTCAGCAACTGTAACCACTAGGCCATAAAGGCCTCACATCATAAAATGGTAACATTATAGCTCTGCAGATAAAATGTACTTCCTGCAAAATATCAAATCTCAATACAATGTACAGGATATCAAAAGTTATATATTTATGACCTACTTTTGCAGCGCCCCCTGGGGATCAGAGAGATCAACAGAGGCTTCTGGTCCGAGGACTTTCTCCAGATGAAGGTCTGTTAACTGATGTTGTAAATATTCTAATTGTTTCCCCATAGATACTGGGGATAATTTTTCCTCTGTCGCTTCGGACTTGATATTGTCCTAAACAAAAAAAGATAAAATGAGCCGCGTCATGACAAAACCAACATAATGGGTTTGCGACATGGATCCAGACCAGCCTGCGCATCCGCGCAGTCTGATCAGGATCCATGCTGTTCGCTTACAAACTCTATTACAAGTAGATAATTATTCTAATTGTGGACAATAACTCAACTCGGGCTAAAAATAGCATAGCATAAAGATATGATTTTAAATATTTCTAGGTACATTTCTTACATATCTTTTGCATATCATTAGTTTTAAGTGTCCTAGCTGTTCTATGTAAGATATTCAAAATTTTATATTCTAGGCTTTTGAACCTTAGTTGAGTTCCTTTAAATTTATACATGAAATAGGAGAAAACATTTACCTCTCACACAGTTTTTAATTTAATAAATAATAAACACATGTTGAGGTAGTCTTACTGTAATGCTTTCCCGCCAAACATTTCTAATTCAATTCAGAAATGTTATTTTCACAAGCTTAGGTATTCAATAATTTTTAACTGTTTATGAAAGGACTTAAATACATAGCGATAAAGGATAAGTGATTGTAAGTAATCTAATGCCCAAGATTTTGAATAAATAACGTTCCAGAAATAACCGATTTACTACGATATTGGTCGATGTAAGATTTTTTTAGGGCAGGAAAGCATTACAGTAACATTACCTTACAACAAAAATTGGGTACCTTAATCTTGCTGACTTCCTCACTAAGTTCACGTATCTCATGTTGAAGCCTCATGTATTTCTGCTGTGGAGATTCTACTTTACCCGTACCTTCCCCTAGCTGTAATATAAAATAAATTGCAGTATGATTCTACATTCTTCAAAGCTATATGTATATACCAATCCACATTCATATTGTATTATTCATATCCGAAGATTTTAAGAGAAGTAAAACAATTCAAGATTCAAGTAATAATTTACATGTTTTCAGCAATTAATGACTTATTTTGTAGTACCTATCACGATATATCTACTGCGTTACTAAAGCAGTAAGGGATATTTTTGCATATTTTGACCTGTTTTTGGCAATTTACTTGGGTTGTAAGTGCTGTTTGGAATGTGTAAATTACTTTCTTTGTTCACTTCAAAATATTTAACTTTTAAAGTTTAATACATTTTCAAAAATTTTATGAAAACTAACATGAATCAGTAGACTTGCTTCTGATAGAAAGATAGATATTTTTTTTATTGGTATATTTAGATTCTGAAATAGGTATTTACAAACTTCAGTTAGTCATATATGAATTAGAAATGAAACATTTATCTACCAGTTCATATTCCACTTGGGCCTCATAACCAGTTCTCCGTGACTCACTGATCTTGTCAGAGAAATCTGAAAGTAGTTATTAAAGTAGAGGCATATATATCTTTATCAATATATCAACAACAGCCATCGAAAAATATCTTCAGAGTCACTCATCCTGCAGGAGGAATAGCTTCTAAATCCAATGTGCAGGCAATATTTTTCTACTCGTCCTGCATAGAGTTCTCTTAAATTCTACTCGTAATTATGAGCAGACGAGTGGAATTTTTGATCTCTGAATGGACAAAAAAAATATGTTTAAGTGTTTCCTTTTTCCAAATAAAAGGTTAATCTGAATATTAGCAAACTGTTTTTTTCCCTCAATTTCTGTCAATAACACACTACCTCTTTCACAATCAAAGGCAAAAACACATGTATTTCATGCTCGTCTTTCACAAATTAGAAAGGTCTTTCTCTTTTCACAATCTTTACTCATCTGACATACATGTATATAAACAAGAAGCGCCGCAATGTGACGAAAACCAGGTTTTCAACAACCAAGTTTTGATGTGACAGCAATCAATAGGTCAAAGTGCACTGAGTAGAGTAGAAGCTGAAAATTTTATTTATGCAAATGACCTTGACCTTGTTCCCAGATATCTAAGTGGCAATCTAAAGCTGCCACACAGCAAGTTTGGTGTCAAAAGGCCAAAGCAAACTAAAGTTATTAGGTGAGAACTGAATAATTAAACTTGATCACAGACACCTGGATAGCAATCCAAACCTGCCTCTTGATAGAAGCTACCCATTCATCAAGTTTGGTGTCAATAGGCCAAAGCAAATTCAAGTTATTGAGCAGAAACTGAATTTCTATTTTTAGTAGCAGTGACCTTGACCTTAGCCACTGAAACCTGGGTAGCAATCCCAAGCTGCCTCTTGATATAACCTAACCATACACCAAGTTTGGAGTCAATAGGCCAAAGCAAACTCAAGTTATTGAGCTGAAACTGAATTTCTCTTTTAGTAGCAGTGACCTTGATCACAGATGCCTGGGTAGCAATCCCATATTGCCTATTGATATAAGCTATCCATACACCAAGTTTAGTGCCAATAGGTCAAAGCAAACTCAAGTTATTGAATCGAAACTGAAATTTCTATTTTTAGTAACAGAGACCTTGACCATGATTACAGACACCTACCTGGGTAGCAATGCAAAGCTGCCTCTTGATATAAGCTACCTACACACCACATTAGGCATCAATAGGCCAAAGCAAACTCAAGTTATTGAGCGGAAACTGAATTTCTATATTTAGTAACAGTGACCTTGACCTTGATCACAGACACCTGGGTAGCAATCCCAAGCTGCCTCTTGATATAAGCTACCTACATACTAAGTTTGGTGTCAATAGGCTAAAGCAAACTAAAGATATTGAGCGGAAACCAAAAGTTGACGCCTGACCGCCCACCCGCCTGCCCGCCCGCCGACTTTGGCATTACAATAACCCTGTTTTCGTTGAAAACCCGGTTAAAAAATTCTTTATAGGATGTTATCATAAGCAGTTTTCAGTTTTTCTTCAGTTTGTTCAATCTCTACTTTTTTCTTTCCTTTGCAGAGCTAAGTTTTGCCTGTGTCATATATGTATACATGTACAAAATGACGTCTCTTGATAAGCTTACCAATATTCTTCCCCTCCACTCCCTTTCCTTTAAACTGTTTATACGCTGTCTCAGTATCCAGTTGTATTTTATCTATGGCATCATTGGGAACTTCCTCCTGTTAAAGCATGTAAATCTTTAAGTATTATTACAACATCTCTGTTGGTAGCTTTCACTAAGAATCATGGCAGTTAGCCACATTGAATTTACCAAAGCACAGGTCAGCCCCAAAATCATTCCTGGCCAGACTGTCAAGCAGTTTACTAGTACTACATACCTTCAATTTCACAAGGAACTGATGCATGTAGAAGTTTAGTTAGAAATTAATTTTAATCACATTGCTTTTCCAGTGTCTGTCACTCTACATTCTACAAACAGCATCAACCATGGCCATTAGAAATTCATTAAATACGTACTTTGCAACTAGACAATCAAGTGCATGATAAATTTATTAATTTTACCTGACCTGAAAAATCAACATTTCAAGAAATTTATCAGAATTTTACAAACAAATACATTTCCTTCATATTTTTTTCAAACATCTAAATTAAAAGGGCCTCAACTGAGGTTTTATGACATCACAGGACAGGAAATGAGCCGCGCCATGACAAAACCAACATAATGGGTTTGCAACCAGCATGGATCCAGACCAGCCTGCGCATCCGCGTAGTCAGGATCCATGCTGTTCGCTTACAAACCCTATAACAAGTAGAGAAACTGATAGCAAACAGCATGGATCCTGATCAGACTGCATGGATGAGCAGGCTGGTCTGGATCCATGCTGGTCGCAAACCCATTGTGTTGGTTTTGTCATGGCGTGGCTCAAATATTTTTTCGAGATTTATGTTCCATTTGATGTAGGACTAGCCCAAAAACTTATGAACAAGATTTCAGATAATTTGCCGAGTTCGCCGATTTTTCTATGAAAAATCACTGTGAAAATTGACCCAAAACTGAAAAGCGTTGCAACACTTTTCACTTAAAATTAGCCAAATAATAGCACAAAAATATGATTTTTAATTAATTTCTGAATACATTTCACGATTTGTTAATTATCTTTTGCAAATTTTTTTTTATGTATTTCTGCCTTAACTACCCCAGCTGATCTATGTAAGAAAATCAAATCAAAATATATTTAGACTTTCGAACCTCAGTGGAGTTCCTTTAAAACATTCAAGAAATACCTGACTGGGAGCAATACTCTGTTCCGACTCTGGCAGATCACTGGTCTCATACACATCTGGGGAATTCAAGTCCTGAAGATAAATAAAATCACATCAAATCATTAATTGCACCAAATGTGAAAATTAAGTGATGACTAAAGTCAATAAACAGTAAAGATTCAACTCGGCCCTATACAAACTTGGAACTGGTCAACTTTTATAGAAAAACATGTTATGTTTAAGAGTTGTACATTTATAAATAAGTTTCATTTTAAATGTTAAATTCAAACGTGGCCCCAGCTTTGCCGTGTGCAAAATGCGCTGAGCTTTGAAGATGGGAACCAGTCGGCTATGGGCGGAGCCATTCGGTTATATGTTGGTTCCCATACTTCAAAGTTGGATGTATTTGTACACGGCAAAGCTGGGACCACGTTTGAATTTATGGAAAGATTTTGTAAATGGAGTAAAACGGCGATAATCTTGATGTTTATTTTGGCTGTTGCGTTGTTTATATTACCGTTGAAGTTTAAAATTGACCATCATCGTAAAGAATTATATCTTCTGTGTCGATGGACCAAAGGATTATGTGAAAATGTTGGAAATGAAAGAAAATACATGGTGATTTTGACGGTAGGTGTGCGGATTTCTTCCAGCGAACATTTTTATTTTGTGTATTATTATAGACGTTGAAATACGATTTTTTCAAAACAACTTACATTAAGTTTTTTTGATATATATGATCAGTACATGTGCTGGGATTGACAAATGTACATTTTATTTGGATTTTAAAGGCGTTTTAAGATCCACACCCAAAGTGTCTGTGGTCTCTGCCACTTTCAAAGAAAAAGGAGTGGAGCTGGCTGTAGATTTACGTTTATTATAGAAAACATTAAAACTGATCGCAAAATATTTATGCAACATTCATCAATTACGAGGGTCCGTAGGGAAAACGTTTATTGTTTTTTAAGGTTCCC